CATCTGCCCATAAACAAACACCTTCCTGACAAACTGCTCGCGCCTCGAAGGCTCCTCACTGTCGTGAAGTTTCACTTCGGCCACCCATCAAGGCTTAAAGACTTTTTAACTGTGATAAAAAACGTTGTCACTTATTATTTTCCTCTCGTGTCCTACGACGGTAGTTTAGCATAACAAGTGTCCAGAAATGTTTCATCGGGGACTCTCAGAATGCAGCTCGTACGGTGCGCCGAGGCATTTGCTCCTGCAGAGAGCCACTGCCTATTTTCCACTGTGTGCCTGATTTAATAGCCCATATGCTTATCATGTCAGAGTGATATCTTTGTTTATCGCAATCCTTTTATCACGAGCTCGGCGTGTCTTGCCGGTGCCGGCCTGTGGCTGCCGTGTGATCCGGCAGCAGCCAGACTGAGGAGCAAACACCGACATACATTTAAATCAGCGAGTAAGACAGATGGGTCAGGGTTTGCTCGCTTCTTAAAAAAAAGGAGGTTTGTGTGTCCTTGAGAGAGGTCATCCTGATAGTCCCGAGGACACAGAGGGGAAGATTCATGGGCCTGCTGACCCAGGTAGGCACCCCGGGGAGCAGTAAACTAAAGCCTCGCCGGTTGACTCACATCCCCTGGCAGGGCGCGATAACATCAAGGCTCATGGTTGAGCCTTTCAGTCACCGCCGCAGCCCAGAGGAACGCTTAAAAAACCAAATAAACGCACAACAACAACAACAACAACAACAAAGACAGCAGCACAGAGGAGGCCTCACAGCACAACAGCTTTACTGAGCTGAATATTACACAGCTTCCCTCGAAACACCGACCAGGAGAATCCAGCTTCATGTGGATTTGAAATGTCAAATTCAGCAGCTGGATTCAGCGGTTCCTCAAGACTGCAGCACGAATTAAAGAACCTCTTTAGAATCAGAATCAGAAAGCCCAGTAGCTTTTCACATCCAAGGAATTTAACATAACAGCAAACATACAGGGTAAAAACAACGTGGCAGTAAGTGTTCTAAGACAAATAAGTTCCAATGTGCAGAAATGTGCAAATTAATCAGCTGAGGATTAGGTGACGGTTCTCCGTTTGCTTTATGTGATTATTTAACGTAGTAAAGGTTCTAAATGTGTATTTGGGTCAATTGGCGCCAGCATGAAATCACAGCAGCAAGTAGTAAATGTTTAGATTTCAATTAACGGATTCAACATTTTTAATCTGTAGAACAGCCGAAAATAGAATGAAATACAGGTCGTAGCTTCGTTCTGTTTCAGTCCAGAACCAAAAATATCACATAATGAGATGAGTTACAGCAGAAGACCCACAAATACTGCAAATTCTGACATTTACAGTCACACAAACGTTCTGAGTCTACAGCTGTAAAATTCATTTTTAATTTCTACTCTGAATCTACAGGTTGTGTTTTAAGGGGTCTTTGTTCCCCTAATAGTGACTGACTTTGTGTCTTCTGTTTGGCCAACGAGTGAACTGGATCCACTTTGTGCATCTTTGAAATTAACAAATTATTGTGATCGTTATTTGAACGTCTTGCTTGTCTGTAACTGATTTTAATAAAAAAATAAAATAAAATTACTAAAATGGTCAAAACTATATTCATGTTTTGTTTTTAAATCTGCACGTAATCATTTGATTTTAAAAACGCTCAAAGAACCATTTGTTTAGAAAAAATACTTAAGAACCATTTTTTAAAAACGGTTCTTGGTTCTTTAAAAAAAAATTGTTTTGTGAAAAATCTTTCCTAAAACGCCATTTTTGGTGCTTAAATAAACATTTTTTGACGGTTCTTTGAGGCACCATCGTGGGTTCCGTTTTCAGAAATATTTCTTTAAAAGAAGTTCTTGCTAAAGAATAAAAACTAAAACTGGTTCTTCTACGGCACCACCGTAACAGAACCATTTTTCATTCCAGTTAGCGCCGTTGTCTTGTTGGACTACAATAAACATGGACTCGGATCTGTTTGCCTGAAAACTTACTTGTGCATTGATAAAATAATTTGATCTGATTGTCTGATTGTGTTAATCGAAGAAAATAAAAATCTAAAAAATGCTTCATAATTCAGTTTGCAGATGAAACTAGCAGCCATGCTAGCAGCTTTGTTTACTCCGGTGGTGCTTTGAGCTAAATGCTAACGTCAGCATGCTAACATGCTCTCAACGACAACGCAGACGTTCTTACATTTAGCGCGTCCACCAACTTAATTTAACATTTTACCTTTTCTATCACCCACAAATCAAAGTCATGAACACATTCAGGTTTCGACCTGTCGGTGGTTTAAATGGAAACGACAGAAAACCACCAAAGAATTCAACCTGAGTGACATAAATATCTGTACAAAATGAATTTAAGGCAGTAATAGAGATTTTACTCAAAACCACAAGTGCTGGATTCACGGTGGCACCAAAGGATCATCAAAGTTTAATCCTCTGAGCTCTGTCAATATTTGAAGCAAATTCCAACCTGGACAATTTAATTTGGACACAGTCTGGATCAAAGCGGTCAGAAAGTCACTGATGGACCATTTGTAGAGCATACAGTTCAATATCTTTGGGTTTTGATCCTGTTAAGTGGGGAAAAAACAATTAATATGAACAAAAAGGCAGTAAAGATAAGTTTAAATTGCTCTCCATGTGCAGCAGCTCGACATCTGAAAGGACGAGTCTGAACCCAGAAGTTGGTCCTTGCTTGCAAAAATGTGTAATATTTATACATATACTGGAGCTTCAGATGTGCAAAAACCACCAAGTGCACACTCAGAGCAAAAGAAAAAGCCTTCCTCATGCAGAACAGTGCCCGAGGTAGAGATTGGCTGGAATCTCATTGGCCATACTCGGGGTTTTCGCTGCACAGAGGAATTTTTTGGCTCCGACCAAAGAGGTTGTAGCCAAGACCAAAGGAAAACCAGCAGCGCCAAAGTGATCAGGATTCAGAGGGAAAACAGCAATTAATTATTTTTTAAGCAGTTTTCCTAATTGGGGGGTTTTATTTACCCGACATAGGAGTGTGTTTCAGTTTGTCGAATGGTCAAAAATAACACAAACAAGGCAACACAGACTGAATAAGACTAAATAAACTGCAACTACACTAAATATCCTGACAGCAGTGGTCATATTTGGGCACTTTTGCTGTTATTTCTTCTGCTAAATAGAAGTTACAAGAAATACGTGTGCTTCTGATTTTCTGGAAATGCTTATTTCCTGTAGAAGTAATGATCACAAACCCGTTTTTTTCTTTCCTGGTATTCCATCGTTCTGTTGACCACGGGTGGCATTTGCATGCTGCCGAGCCGTTGCTTTTTAATCTCGAATCTCAGCAGAGGTGATAAATACCATTTAGCGGAACATAAATGTCAAACTCTCGCCCATGAAGCCCAGGAACCCCGGATTCGTCACTCGCCCAAGCAAAATGGCAGCAAGACGCTACTGTACTATTGTTTATCTCGCGGCGCGCCGATGATTTGATTGTCGATTGTAATGTCACGGCGCACATTAAATGTCGTGACTGTGCATAAGAAGCCGGGACTATTACAGGACCGGCTTTTCATTAGCATATATTGAAAATCCCAGAAGCGCCGCGGGGCTGTAGCTGTCAGCAGCGCAGCCACACAGGATTCATGCTGATCCGATGATAAGGAGTTTGGTGGCGGAACAAGGGAAGGTCTCTCTGATTGGTGTGACGATACAAATGTGGGACAGTACAGTCAGACGGAGGATCTGCACCGAGGCAACACCTCCACGTACCTCAAACGCACCCACGATTGTTTGTTTGGATTCGCGCTTTCATCAGCAACTCTTGGGCTCCACGCGGCACAATCATCGGGACTTTTAATTACATTATAATATTAATGCCGCAGCAGTTTTTAATAAAAAATGTCGACCAGGCAGGATTCAGCGGCAGCTGAATTTGATTAATTTGTGCCGACTCCAAAAACACACGTTTTTAAATCATCTTAATGTATTCCAAATTGCCGTTTAATTTAATTTGCTCAACAGTTACAACCAAATTACGTCCTCATTTACATTTTGTGACGTCGTGGGAAAAAGCTCCGAGGTTTAAGCAGCCAGGAGGAAGTCACTGTTGGTTTACTGTTACTACGCTAGAGTTTGGGACGTTCATGATTTACTGCAGTCTACACATTGCTGTTATATATTGACCAATAGGATACAGAGGAACAGCTGTAGTACCTGGTTGTGCCACCAGGTGGAGCTTTTTGCTGTTTGTTGAAATAGAGGACTGCAGTTGGTTGTGTTCGATCCTGAGGTGGTCGCTCAGGCTACAAGCAGCTCCATGCTAGCAAGCAGAGAGCATTGTGGGGGTTTAGCTGCTAACGGGAACCATGACGACAACTGGTGTGGTTGATACCTTTCAGCTCTCATGTGGATTATAAGCTGTAGTTTAAAGGGACAGTGGCCCTGTATCAGAGCACAGTGGCAAATGCTAGGTGTGTAATAAACATATGATAAACTATCCACTCATTAATGATTAGTCAGTTATTGATTATTAATCAGTCAACTAACGAGAATAGCTTCAAATTTGCATCCCTACATCAAGCGTTAAGCTAGGTGGCTAGTTTTAGGTAAGTATCACACTTCAGTTGACACTTTAACAATGACAACTACTTTTTAAAGCTCGGTTCAGTTTACTGACGACTAATTTCTTGGTTAAGTTCGAGAAAATATCATGATTTGAGTTAAAATACATGTCAGAAGCTTCTCCTCCATTTTCTGGGTCACCTGGGTGACAAATCCCAGCTTATGCTGAATTTACTACTAAAAATAAAAACTTAATTTGTACGGCAATAAAAAAATAAATGCCAAATAAGACAAACGATAAAAACAAATCCAATAAACAATATGTCAAGCATATCACAAGATAAAATAAGTCATAAGTGTCCTCCAGTAAATAAAAATCATGACTGATGTTAAGTGACCTAACGCGTGTAAATATGAGGGTCAACACGCTGTAATGGTATTTATGGTGTAAATGATCCAACTAATTTACATATTAGTGATTAAAACCCAACAAAAATTACATAAAACATGACTAATATACATATTAAGGCCCTCCAGTTTTATCCAGTACGGGAAAACTGCCCCACTAATGTAACAATACAGCAAAGATCTTAACCTAATTAATGTAAATGTTAAAGCTGACGCCCCGCAGCATTATCAATTATGGAGATTAAATCTATAAACCAATTAGCATCGGCAAAAACATGTCGATTCAACAGATAAAACTTGAGTGAAAATGCACTTTTGTTGCAGAGAACCACCGTTTCTCGTGGAGTTTACACACATTTTCCCGTTTTTAATTTCCTCCTCAAGCGTCTGAATTCATTATTTGTTGCATCTCCAAAACACCTTATCATCTGCATAAACGAATGATTGATTAAGATTTGTACAAATTACAACATTAGAAATTAAACGAGGAAACGATTAATTCCTTAATTGATTTGTTGTTTAGATCGGGAGCCCGCTTTGATGCACTAATTATGTCAGTTATGCTAATTAGGCTCCTTTAATGTGCCGATTTGGTGCTTTTTTCCTTATTTCATGCGATGCTGCGGTTGATGTATTTTGCGGGCTGCTGTTGTTTGAACCGAACAACGGGGGGAGGCCCGGAGCTCTCTGCCTCCCGTCACCTCTGAGCGTTTCAATTAGGCGCTGAGGGATGGAGGCTGCTGGGTAATGAGCGCGGACCACCGAGGGCCCGGTGACAGGTGACGGCGCCGGTTAGACGAGGACGCCGGCGGTCGGGTCGGCTCCGGCTTACCGTGGCCTGCTGCTTCTCCGCCCGCTCATTTGCCTCGTCCAGCTGCTTCTGCAAGGCCGCCTGGAGGGACTTCATCTCCTCCCTGTCAGGACGAGAGGGGAAGTGAGAAACACTCTGTTAGCACTCTCCAACGACCACCGATTCCCCGGACGTCAACCGGAGCTGGAGGTTTTTTTTGGGGGGAGGCGAAGCAATTTTCACCCTGTTGTCTCAGAGCAAACAAAAACAGCAGCTTCTGGTGTCATCGAGTCTTCGGAAAAAAAAAGGATTTAATCATAAAGACATTTGCATGAAGGAAATGTGCAATTATGTAAAGCAGTAAACAAAGAATAAATCCTGTGATTTTCAGAGTCGCGAGCACGCCGACGTCAAAATTGGCTTCACCTGAGAAACCGGAGCGATGAATAATGCAAGCAGGCAAACATTAACGTATCGATTATGCAATTAGGGAGTGACGGAGGGCTCGTTTGGTGAGTATCTGTCGCTAACAGTGCTGCAAATTGCTTTTTTTTTTTTTTTTTTTTGGTTGATTTCGGTCTTCTTCGGTGTCAAAACATGTTCTCTTTTTCATTAGTCTTTCATGTTTGAATTCAAAAATATCAGTTTTTTCCTCCCCTTAGACGTGCAGCTGGTTAACTAACTGCACAGCTCAGCAAACATTAAGCGCAGTAATAATGGAGATCGTATTCAAATGGGGAGACGCGAGGACACTCGGTACGTGGGAGTGCTTGTGTTGTATTATGTAGAGTGTATGGAGCGCTCCTCTCTGATTCGGAGCGTGCCGTATTAGGACCGCCACTGCATTCATTATGCGTTTAACATAAAATTTAAATGTTACGCATTAGAATGCAGCGGCTACTCCGCCGCCGTTTGATGCTCCCGTGCACAGATAACAGAAATGCACAATGAATTATGAATCGAGTAGGCGAGTGATGTGGGTCAGTGGTTTAAAAAAAAAAGAAAGAAAGCGCTCGTAGGAATCACATCACAAGGCAGCCCAGTTAAAGTAGCCGCGTGCTAACCGATTCCAGGATTTAAAGGTAATACGATCGCTGCAAACCGGGTTTAGATTTTATGTACCAACGGTCTCGACTCTCGGCAGGAAGTTCGGCTACAAGCAAACGTTTTTCTGCACAGCGACGCTCTGGTTTGTCGCTCTGGTTTTATTCCCATCACCGGACTTTTTATGGACAAACTAGAGATAGTTCAAACCAGGACGTTAGATCCCCTCACGGCGGCTAACGCTACGCTAACGGCTAGCGGCTAAGTTAGCAGGTAGCCACATATTAACCTGAAACAAAACCTATGATTAATATTAAATAATGAAAGATCTGGACTTTAGTGGACGATAAAAATGATTAAAAATAAAATAAAAATAAAATCTGAGTCACTTGGGAGTTATTTTGAGTCATTTTGTCAAATTTTAAGTAATTTTAGACTTGTTTTAAAATCATTTAAAGATTTTTTTGGAGTCGCTTTTAACAGTTTTTAATCATTTTTGGAGAATCTTGATTCACTTTGGAAACACTTTGAGTCATTTTTGTCAGATTTGAAGTCATTTTGGACGATTCTTTAACCATTTTAGGGGGAAAACTGTCGCTTTTGAAAGGTTTTAAGTCATTTTAGAGATTTTTAAATCATTTTGTCAGATTTTAGGTCCTTTCAGGAACATTTCTGTCAGTCGATCCACGTAAACAGAGGACAGAGTCCTGATTGAATCACTCCTGTTTCTATTGTAATTTTCTAAATCGATCTGTGATGCTGTCTCTGTCGCTGTTGTGCTGTTTCTACAACAACAATTTCCCTGAGGTACCTGACCAAAGGGATCAATAAAGTTCTATCTAATCTGATCTGATCTAATCATCTATTTTACAGAATGTGGAGAATTCTGAGTCACTTTGGAGAAATTTGGAGTCATTTTAGAGGATTTTAAGTCATTTCGTCAAATTTTAAGTCATTTTGGAAACATTTTTGTCAGTCGATGCCACATAAACAGAGAAGATCGTCCTGATTTAGTCACTTCTATTTATATTTTAACAGAATTTGGAGAATTGTGATTCGCTTTGAAAACATTTGAAGTCGTTTTTGACAATTCTTTGAAGTGTTTAAAAAAAAATTAAGTTGCTTTGGAAAAGTTTTGAGTCATTTTGGAGAACTTTAAATCATTTTGGAACTATTTTTTGTCAGTCGATGGCACACAAACAGAGGAGAGCCTCCTGATTTAATCACTCCTGTTTCTATTTTACATATTCAGCTCCAGTAACCCTGATTATTTAAGAAGTCTAGTTATGAATGTCAGGTTCTCTGCTATAACATGCTGGTAAAACAACACATTTAATCTGCCTTTCTTCATTCCCAATAAGAGGTGTTGGCCTTAAAAAACCCATATTGGTGGATTCTTAGTTCAAACAAGATGCCAGATGAAGGCCACAGTAAACATGAGACTGACGTACTTTAAAAGGCTAAAAGCAGATTATATTAAAGCTGCTGCTGGTTCAAAACCTTCAAATGTTGATTCTTTACTATCTGCACAAAACATTTTTTATCTATTTTTTTTGTTTGCTGCAGTTTTGTGGCCAAAATAAAATATATAAAATTATTTTCAGAAAGCAATCAAATCTATGTTAAGAGTTGTCAGAAATAAATGACTCGCAATGAATCACCTGTCTGCATCCGCCGTGATGGAGTCCAACAGTAATCGCACTTGGCAGACGTGGAACTCCGAAGGTGGATTAATAACATTTTGGAAAAAAAATAATAATAAAAAATTGCAGAAATGCTGCTGGGGTAGGCAACACGGAGCCCATCTGATCTGATCCGCCACCGCCATCGCTGCTGCTGCTTTATGGTTTTTAGCTTGATGACATGTGAGAGCTGCCGTGGACGGGTGATAGGCTATTGATTGGCTATCAAGATACGGCACACAGGAGACCGGACTTCAATCAGGCTGACGTTGGGGAGGCCCGCAAATGACTGCTAATCATTAACAGTCTCATTACACACAACATTAATCAGACAATCCTAACTGCTCAAGCACTTTAGGTAAACACTTTTTTTTCTCTCTCTCTCTTTTTTTTTTTAGCTCGCTTGCAGAAAGAGAGATTCACTAAATCACAGATGCTCGATGTGCTTTTGCACAAAACAGCAGACGGGCCCATTATATTCAAATATACAAGCAGGATTTATGATTGAATTCTGCATCATCCAGCCGCCTGCATGCGCGTGAGTTCAGATGAACAAACCGGACAACACCTCAGAATAACCTGCATCAATAACGACGGACAGTTTAGACGCCCTGAAAGCTTCATTTTGCTCTCTTCCAATAAGAAGTCGCTGCTTTGTGTGAGAGGAGGAGCCGACGGCGGGTCAATGAGATGTGATTGTGTTCTAATGAAGCCGATTAGCTGCATGTTTGAGTGCTAAACTCTTTGGTTTTGTTTTTTTCTTAATTTGATTGCTGCTTATTTGCTCGTGAATATTTAACGTCGGCGAGGAGCTGCTGCTGTAGTTCACTCGTCTCCAGCGCTGCTGCTGCTGAACACCGCCGGCTAACGTAGCTGCGCTTCAGGTTGAGGCTATAAACGCAAATTTTAATTATTTCAGCGGCGGAGCAAACATCAGCTCAAAAGGATGCTTCGGCTGCTGTTGCTATGGCGAAGGAGGGATGAATCAGAGCGTCAGCAAATTTAAAATCAACTCTTGAGTTTGTGAACTAAACATGGCTCCATAGCCGGGCTGACCTTCACCTGCCCACAACGAACCCACGATGCAGAAGTTCAAATTAGTTCGAGCTGCAGATTGAGGATGTCTGGTGATGAAACCAATAATAAACAGACCCAGAGATGCTAAAAACAGCCCCTAAGACACTAAAAACCCACTTTATATGGGTTTACTGTCAGATTTTACTCTTTTTTTAACGCATTAATTACGATTTAATACCAGAAAACGACTGATTAACCGCCGCCGGTGCTTGTGAATTCCTTTAGAGGACACGGTGTCGCGTTGGTAACTCACGTCTAAGTCATGCATGATGGCCCACTTTACCTCTGTTTGTGGCTCAGCTCCAGAATCCTCTGCACGTCCTTCTTGGCGACTGAGTCATCGTTTTTCAGTGACTGAAAGAGAACAGAAGGCACTCGGTTGATTTTATTTTATTTATTTTTTTCCAGGATAAGACACAGTTTTGCATAGCACATGACAAAAAAAAATGGAAATAACTTCAAAGCAGCCTCAGCAGACAGACAGGAGGGGAACAAATATACAGTACTCAAGTATTTTATATATATCCTGGGTTTTTAAAGCTTCGGCGACCCCGAGGGACCTGAATATCGTAAAGCAACGATTTAAAGAAAAACCTGCAAAAACTGAGGTGAGAGCGTTTGTTAATGAGGCTTCATCGGGTTCATCAGGCGCCTCAGCACCTGCCTGATGGCTCATTACGGATTAGTCGCCTTACAAGCCCTCCCAGATATTGTTATTTGTCATGAGAGACTTTAAAAGAAAGAAAACTCAAAGGGAGCGATAGTTTATCTGTAAGTTGTGCTCGGAGGTGATGTGTGCAGCAATTAACGCCGTATTTCCATAACGCCTCCGACGGGCACAAACCCCGACTTCCCTCCGTGTGAAATCTGAAAAAATGAAGAAGAAGAAAAAAGGGGAGGACGTATATTCACACCAGATAATAAGCTGCCGCTGAGCCCAGAACTCAGCGGCCGTTCTCTCTCTCTCTTTGGCAAATTCTGTGATTTGTTTCGTCTGTCGGCGAGCAGCGAGTCAAACGGACACGTTTCTGCTCGTCGTTCACACTAAAACTCTTTACGAGCTTCGCGTTGTCGTCCAGACAACAGGTTTACTGCCGCAAGGAAACGTTTACGGTGTCGCTTCCAGATCTTCAGATTCTGGACGCGCTCGACAAACTGTTCGTGTCAGCGTGACTGACCTGAAGCTGTCGTTAACGTCCTTCTTATTGTGTCGCTTTTATTATTTAGTTTTAAAAGTTTGGAGATCCTGCAGACTTCTGTGGCTTCTTTCTTCTCCGGCGTACTTCAATTACTTTGTGCCATAAAACAGGCTGTTTCATTTCACACCAAACTTAGCACAGCGCTGCGCTTTGTAAAGTACGGCGCCGAGGCTGCAGCGTGGCGCTAATTTACAGATTCTGCAGTTTTTAATGAAAAATGAAGCCTGAACACGTGGAATGGATCAAACAGGAGGATCTGTCACACACAG